CTCCTGTCGACGACGCCGTGTGCGTTTCCACTCATCTTCTTCATCTTCAATCTCTCGTCGTCATCAATCTCTATTCTTCTCGTCTATAATTCTCTCAAATGGAGCAGCTGAAGACGCTGGGGAGAGAACTTGCAATGGGGTCCCACGGTCAGTCGAAGGAGTTTCTGGACCTCATCAAGTCCATCGGCGAGGCCCGATCCAAGGCCGAGGAGGACCGCATCGTCCTCCGCGAGATCGAAACCCTAAAGCGCCGCATCAACGACGCCGACACGCCCAAGCGCAAGATGAAGGAGTACATCATCCGCCTCCTCTACGTCGAGATGCTCGGCCACGACGCATCCTTCGGCTACATTCACGCCGTCAAGATGACTCACGACGACGCCCTCCTCCTCAAGCGCACTGGTTACCTCGCCGTCACCCTCTTCCTCAGCGACGACCACGACCTCATCATCCTCATCGTCAACACCATCCAGAAGGATCTAGCCTCCGACAACTACCTCGTCGTCTGCGCCGCCCTTAACGCGGTCTGCCGTCTTATCAACGAGGAAACCATCCCCGCTGTCCTTCCCCGCGTTGTCGACCTCCTCAACCACTCCAAAGACGCCGTCCGGAAGAAGGCCGTCATGGCGCTTCATCGTTTCTACCAGAAATCTCCCTCCTCCGTCTCCCACTTGTTAACTAATTTTCGCAAGCGCTTGTGCGATAACGATCCCGGAGTCATGGGCGCTTCTCTTTGCCCTCTCTTTAACCTTGTCTCCGACGATGCTAATTCTTACAAGGATCTCGTTGTTAGCTTCGTCAACATTCTTAAACAGGTTGCAGAACACCGGTTGCCCAAGACTTATGATTATCACCAAATGCCTGCACCCTTCATTCAGGTTCAATTCTGTTTAACTTTTGGATAAATTTCTCTCTTCGAGAGGAAAATAAGAAACTAGAATGATTAATTTTGACCTTAAATTAAACTCATCTAGGAAGATAGGTTTATGGAGAAAGTCATCCTAGTAAATCTATTTGTTTTTGCATGTTGCTTACTCAATCCTTTTACTTAAACTTGCTACATGTTGTGTTTGAGTGTGTAGGTTAAGATGCTAAAAATTCTGGCATTGTTGGGAAGTGGCGACAAGCAGGCTAGTGGACACATGTACACTGTGCTTGGTGATATAATTAGGAAAAGTGATTCGATGACCAACATAGGGAATGCGGTTCTCTATGAGTGCATATGCTGTGTTGCTTCTATATATCCCAATTCGAACTTATTAGATTCAGCAGCGGATGTAATTGCTAAATTTTTGAAGGTTTGTTATTTATTTTTTTGGTGAAATGTGTTCTATGTTCGGTGGATCTAGCTATTGCGTTTTACATATATGTATTGCTGTCATGTGGGCAGAGTGACAGTCATAATCTCAAGTACATGGGCATTGATGCCCTTGGTCGGCTGATAAAGTTAAGTCCACATATTGCAGAACAACACCAACTTGCCGTCATTGACTGCTTAGAGGTGAAGGGTGTTCCTCATAAAGATGAGTTTATTGTGTTTTGATAAAGTTGATATCATTTAGCTTTTGTGTAGATCATTCAATGCTTGTTGTACTTCATGTTTTCATATGCAATCTGCAAGTCAAACCAAATGATGATCAGTGTTACTGAATTTCTGTTATTTTCATCTGGTCTCGACAGTTGATCATGATTGTCATGTTGTTGAAATTCCTTGTGAAGTGTTGCTGACAAATATAGCTAGAGGATAAGATAAGGGTTGCAAGTGCACCAGAAAAATGAATTAGACCATAAGGCTTTAGTGACTGTTACACCAGTTGTTATGGAGACAGTAATGTGTACTGTGAACTTTTAAGAACCGTTTAATTTTAGTTAAAGTTTCCTCTTCACACAAGTGTAACCTTTTCTTCCATCAATGTTGACCTGTTGGTATTTTTGTTATTTCAATGCTGGTTTATATGATGGTATAATATCACATACAAAGATCCTTGCTCTGAGGGATACTGAATAGACGTTGTTTCAATTGGGAGATTCTAAAAGAGCATCAATATCATCATCATAAATAATGAGTTAAACATATTTGCTACTTGAAGTGTGACATAAAAACAGAGGATTATGCTTCACTTCCTTTCATTCCAAAATCCAGCAAAACATGGTTAAATTTTTCAAAACAAGCTCGTCAAGATTGTCCGAGACCGTAGAGAGATTAATGAAGATTGCAAACGAGACTGGACTCTCCTTGAGCAATGAACTCAGGAGTTTGCTTCTCGTAAATCTCTTCCAATTCACTGCTAAGGAATGACATTTTAATATATATTTGATGAAGAGGCCAATAACAACCGTGTCAAGGAAGAGGTGAACAATAGTATCCTTAGCCAAAGGGGAGATGCCTCTCTATGTCCTTCATTGGTATATTAATGGGAGGAGGTGAAACTACTTCAACTAGAATGTGAGTTGGAGAATGAGGTTGATCATATTCTTTCCTTGAGAAGGAACCATCATAGGAGTGAGTGATGGGATAAGTAGAACCTACTGTATTGAAACAAAGTCTTGCATGGAGGATGAGAAGAAGGGTGTTTCTTCGAAGGTAACATCGATGAACATATAGTACCTTATGGTGTTGAGAATAACATTTATACCCTTTTTGAAGACAAGAATATTCTAGAAAGACATCTTTAATAACTCTTGCAAAAGACTTGTTTAGACCTGGAGATACATCATGTACAAAGCATGCGTAAACAAACACATGCCTGCTGGAGCATAGAGAAAACTGAAGTCAAGGAAGAAGGTGAACTCAGAGCCACTTTCCAAACAGAGAAGGAAGGTGAGATATTTTTCCTCTGTGACCAGCTAAAATGAGTTGCTTTTGATGAGTTGGACTACCTGTGGTTCACCAGAAAAGTTGCCAGAGGCAGATGGTGGTGGCTGGGCAGCCAAGGACTGGAATAGTAGAGTGGGATTGAAACCCTCTCTCATACAAACTTAAATATGAAGTTTTGGAAAGAGAAGCTTGAGTTTGTTCACACATCGTTAACAGAAAAAAAACACACTCATACACAGGGATATATATGTGTGTGTAACAATAGTAACTAAAAGTACACTGCAATAACATGAGTGCAGAAACGGCTACAAAAAGAAAGACTGACCCATTACAAGACACATAATGATATATAAAATACATATATTTATTTAACACTTACAAACCTGTCACTGCTCATGATTGTGAAGGGGTATATACTAAATTTGTTGTTCATTGATGTATGAACCCTACCAGATGTTGCTGTAAGTACTCTAATTATGTTTATCACATAAAATCACGATGCTCTATGTTGTTTACATAGTTTATCTATGTGCATAGTTCCTGGTACTCGTGCTTGAATTTGGAACTCTGATTAAAATATAATGTTATGCAGGACCCTGATGATAGTCTGAAACGAAAAACTTTTGAACTGTTATACAAAATGACCAAGTCCTCCAATGTGGAAGTGATTGTTGATAGAATGATTGATTACATGATTAGCATAAGTGATGACCATTACAAAACCTATATAGCATCTCGATGTGTGGAACTTGCTGAACAATTTGCACCAAGTAATCATTGGTTCATACAGGTAATTGGAGTAGTTGCCTCAACATTATTGATTTTACATATTTTTTACACAAATTCATTGTTAGCTAATAATATATGCTATAATGATTATGCAGACCATGAATAAAGTTTTTGAGCATGCTGGAGATCTTGTTAATATTAAAGTGGCACATAATTTAATGCGGTTGATTGCTGAAGGATTTGGGGAGGATGATGATGCTGCAGACAGTCAGTTGAGATCATCTGCTGTATGTTATTACAATTATTGCACTGGTTTGTTTGATATTTCCACCATGGGTGCATAAATATGTTACTGGATCGATGCTGTATTATGTAGGTCGAGTCATATTTGCGCATTATTGGAGAGCCCAAGCTTCCTTCTGTGTTTCTTCAAGTACTTTCTATACCACATATGATTTGGATTTTCCTTTCTCGTTTTAATTTGTGAAGAAATTAAATGTGTTTGTTAGAATAACTTTGAAGTACTGATTGCAGGTCATCTGTTGGGTTCTGGGGGAATATGGAACAGCGGATGGAAAGTATTCTGCTTCTTATATCAGTGGAAAGTTATGTGACATTGCAGAGGCATATTCTAATGATGAAGATGTTAAGGTATTTGTTGACACCAGTATCAACAACATTGATATTGATTTGATAATAGGCATAATAAATCTACTTATGTTTGAAGCTTAATGTAACTTAACTTTCGTTTCTATTTATAAAATGCATCCATGTGGTATGAAGATATTAGTCAAATTATATTAGGTTGGTTGGATTTTTTTAAAACTCTTTTCGTTGCACTACTTCTATCTTATTAATCCTCTATCTCCAACTAATTCACTGTCTTTAACAATGTTGTTGAATAGTGGCTATAGCAGGGTACTATAGTGCTATTGCATTGCAAAATACCTTGAACTTGTGTTTGGATAAGGAAATTTAAGAGTAATTCAATTTTTTTAATAAGTTTACATATTTTGTGGTGAAATAATAATGTTATTGTTCAGATATGAAATTTAGCAAGAAATTGAATTCTAGATATATATGAAAATATTATTATTACTCCAAATTGTAGAATTTAGAATGTGAAATTCTTCATGTTCTCTCTTGCTCTTCTCTTCCCTTTATAATTTTAAAATTGAATAACATTCTTTATCTCAATATTGATAGAGAGGAGAGATATAGGGAGGGAAGATATAGATGGTAGAGAAAGGAGAGAGACAAGGAAGAGAGCAAGAAAATGGAGAACGAGTAAAAGAGAGGATGGAGGAAGAGGAGGGATATAAGAAAAAGATGGTAGAGAAAAGAGAGAGACAAGGGAGAGAATGGAGAGGGAGAGAGAACAAAGAGGAGAGAATGAAATGAATGAGACATAAGAAAGAAAGAGAACAAAGAGAGAGAGGAATAGATTAAAAGAGAGGGTGGAGGGAAGGAAAGAGCAAAAAGTTATATAAAGGGAAGAGTAGATCAAGAGAGAAGATGAAGAATTTCAAATTCTCACCTTTCTCCACTCTATCAATATTGACCTAAAAATGTCAATATTTGTATTTTAAAATTATAAAATATTATCTAATATTAATTATTTTGGCTTATTGAATATTTAAAAACGTACTTGTATATTTCATAAAGTTTATTATTACAGATATATATATATATATATATATATATATATATATTTAAAATAACATAATAGAAATTAAATTGTCATGTCCGAAATAAGAATTTAAAATTTAAGAAATTGGACAAATCATTTAAAAATAAAAAAGTGAAATAAAAACAATTCAAATTTTAAGCGTTTCAAATTTCTTGTAATTTAAAAATACCTCATCAACACAACCTGAACCTGCAATTGCAATTCCATTCTGGTGTACCTTCCACAAACATGGCATTTGCTGTTGCTATGGGTTCATGATTGCAGCATTTGTTCAGGTCTCGCGCATTTGAAAAATGTACGTGAAACTGCGCGTGACTTTTTTTCACTCAATCCCAGTGTCCCACTCCTCCCTCTCACATAAAATCAGTTAAAACTTATCCTGTACGGAAACATCTGTTCACAGCTTCACATAAGGATCAAGGAAGGACTCCCTCCATGAGTGTTTATTCATGTTGTGCGTCCTTCTCTGTCATCTCTTGCGAGTCTTTTGTCAATTGAATTTTTGAGTTAATAATATATCAGTTTTTTTTTATACATACACACATATATATATATATATATATATATATTTATATATATATATTTTTCAATTGCTATGTGACTTCCACTTTTTGCCTGCAAGCCCACAACGTTATTTGTTTCATGAAATAGTGGATTATTGGATTTCTGCCAATTTCTGTGATCTGCAATTTATAAAATGCTCAATAATCACGTACTTCACTTTACTTATTTGACAATTTAAATGCTTGCCTGTCCAAATCTACATATGAATTGTGTTAATAAGTAGTGTGTTATTTGACTTCATTATTTAACATGAGAAATACATGGATATACAGGTATTATGTTCCATTACATTTCATTTTTTATGTGAGCATGCAATAGTTTTTTCCATGGGTGTGCCCACTCACATGGGAACATATTTGTTCGGACTTATATTGTTATGTTTCTAGCATTAGTTTATATAGTTGATCATATGTTCTCTGCGTAAACTTCATTGTTTCATTCAACTATTCTATTATCGTTAGTTCTATTGTATCCATCCTATGGCTTGCTCTAATTTCAATTTGTCTGCTTGCAAAATTTCAAATTCGAACTAATTTATTGCTTTTGTGAAGGCTTATGCAATATCAGCATTGATGAAAATTTATGCGTTTGAAGTAGCAGCTAAGAGGAACGTGGATATACTACCCGAGGTATATGCTGCAAGACTTAGTTCAAAAATATGAATCTTTTCTACCCCATGGGCTTGTTGTGATAGTAAATGATTAATGAATGATTTGACTTTTGAGGGCTATATAAAAACTATCCCTCATGATGTATGGTATCTTATCCCATCTTTCTTATCATACAAAGAGTCCCACCACAATTAAATTTTCTAGGAGTCCTTCATAGGTGTTTTCCAATTTCATAAATGGTATTTTAACCTGCAATTTTTTATTTCTTTGGTTTGTAATATTTCTTAGGTGATAATCTAGAATAATAATGTTGAACAAGAGGAATATGAACATTAGATCTTAAAGTTTATTTTTCATATAAATTCCCTTTGAACATTTCTTGCTTGATTTGGGTTATATGTTTATGAATTCCAAACACTTTTTTCAATGATAAAAGTATCCAGTGACTCTGGGATTCTCTGGCTCAACTGAGACTGTCTGATTAAAAATGCTAGAGATCTCAGACAATCACGAAAACATGTTAGAATACCTTAGCATATCTTCTAAATTATTTGTAATACGTTGAGTGCATTGTGTGTGACTCAAGCTTGTAGTTATAATGATACTCTCTTATTGGATTAGTGTGCTCAGGCTGATAGTTGTAATGATACAACCCGTACTTTACCAAATTATTGATATAAATAGGATCATTGAGTTAGCATTTTGTATGACCTTTTCTATCTATTATTTAACTTCTGTAATTGATAAATTAGTTTCAAAGGCCATTTTGCATGGGTAGGATGTTCATATAAAAGCAAATCATGTTATAGCTTGTAAGTTTATGCTAAATTTGATTTATACCTTTATCTATATGAAGAGTAACCCTTTCTTGTCTACTTGCAGTGTCAATCTTTGATTGAAGAATTATTGGCGTCCCATTCTACAGATTTGCAGCAACGTGCTTATGAATTGCAAGCCCTTATAGGTTTGGGAGCACAAGCTGTTGAATCAATAATGCCAAGAGATGCAAGTTGTGAAGATATTGAGGTTATTGCTATATAGAATTTTATCAGTGTTGATCTATAATGATTTGCACACTATTTGGTGTTTAATGCGTGAAATAGAAGCAATCAAGGAAAATCTTTTAGGGCTGATTTAGTGGTGAAGATGTTAGGATAAGAAAAAAAATATAAGGATGGTATAGGAATAGGATAAACGTTAATCTTATCCGATGTTTGATGTTTATTATACTTGAGAAAACTTATTTAAGGTTTGATACAATGACCACAGGTACTGATATGTTGTATTTATAGAAAAAAGAGTACAATAGAGAGGATATAGGCCTCAACCCAAACCCTTAACCCTAGTCTAAGGAACATTGAAAAAGAATACTAAAAGATACATAAACAACAGATCTCAACACTCCCCTTCAAGTTAGAATATACAAATTGTATGTACCAAACTTGAAACAAATGAATTGAATCCTAGGTCCTCTTAAAGATTTAGTTAAAATATTTGTCAGTTGCTTGTTGGAGCTTACAAATTCAGTTACAAGTTCCTTAGATAACAATTTCTCTCTAACAAAATGACAATCAATCTCAATATGTTTTGTTCTTTCATGAAAGACTGGGTTGGAAGCAATATGGAGAGCTGTCTGATTATCACATAATAACTTTATTTGCTCAATATCACAATTTTAAATCTTGAAGGAGTTGTTTGATCCACACAGGTTCACATGTAGTAAGTGCCTTAACTTTTGCACTAGATCGAGCAACAACACTTTGTTTTTTACTCTTCCAAGAAATCAAATTTCCTCCAATAAAGATACAATACCCAGTAGTTGATCTTTTATCAATTAGACAATCAACCCAGTCTACATCATAATAACCAAGAATTTGAGTATTACCTTTATCTTCATATAACAACCTTTGTCTTGGGGTCCCTTTAATATATCTCAGAATGCGAATCAAGGCATCCCAGTGATTAACACAAGGATTTTGCATGAATTGGCTAACTACTCCAACTGCATAAGAAAGATCCGGTCTGGTAATAGTAAGATAAATGAGTTTACAAACCAATCTTCTATATCTTTCAGGATCTGACAACTTTTCTCCTTTTTCCTTCATCAATTTCTGGTTAGGGTGCATTGGGGTATCAACGGGCTTACAATTTGTTAGACCAGTCTTCTTCAGAATATCAAGAGCATGCTTCCTTTGAGAGATGATCATACCTTCTTTTGACTGGACCACTTCAATACCAAGAAGATATTTCAATTGACCAAGATCTTTAGTTTGGAAGTGAGCAAATAGATGATTCTTCAGTTGGCTGATCTTAGTATAATCATTGCCTTAATAACAATATCATTAACATAAACCATAAGATACATACTTTCCTGAAGAGGAATGACAATAAAACACTGAGTAGTCTGCTTTACTCCTTTTCATGCCAAAAAACTGCACAACATGACTAAATTTTCCAAACCAAGCTTGGGGTGATTGCTTCAAGCCATAAAGAGATCATTGTAATTTGCACACTAAACTAGACTCCCCCTGAGCAACAAAACCAGGAGGTTGCTCCATATAAATATCTTCCTCAAGGTCACCATGAAGAAAGACATTTTTAATGTCTAGTTGGTGAAGGGACTAATGACGAATCATAACCATAGCAAGAAAAAGACGAATAGTAGAAATCTTAACTACTGGAGAGAAGGTATCACAGTAGTCGAGATCATAAATTTGAGTGTAGCTTTTAGCTACTAAACAAGCTTTAAGACGATCCACTTTATCATTATTATTAACTTTAACTGCATAGACCCATCTACAGCCCACAACCCTTTTGCCAGGAGGAAGAGGAACAAGCTCCCAAGTGTCATTGTGCTCAAGTGCCTGCATTGCATCAATCATGGTTTATCGCCATCCAGGGTGATCAAGTGCCTCATGAACATTATTAGGAATAGATAGATTAGCCAAAGAGACAACAAAAGAAGAATATGAAGGAGACAGACGATGGTAACTTAAAAAATTATAAATAAGAAAGGGATTGCGAGTGGAACGAGTACCTTTTCTAAGTACAATAGGCCAACCAAAATCAGAAGTGGGAGGTAAGGTTGAAGGATCCATGGTATGAGAAACTGATGGAGACAGATCTGAATCACAATTATCTATAGGAACTGGTAAAGGTGTAGGAGGTAAATCATTATGACATGTTGACTGAATTGGAAAAGAAACCGGTATAGGCAGAACTTGTTCAATTGATGAACCATCTTCCATTGGGGAAGAAAAGAAGGGTGTTTCCTCAAAGAAGGTGACATCAACAGACCTATAATACCTTTTGGAAGATGGAGAATAACATTTATACCTTGAAGGTGAGAGTATCCCAAGAAAACACATTTAATGGCTTTAGTACTTAGTTTATCAAGACTTGGAGATACATTGTGAATAAAACAAGTACAACCAAATATACAAGGAGATACATGAAAAAGAGGATCATCTGGGAAGATAAGAGAATGTGAAATTTGATTTTTAAGAGAGGAAGATGACATCTGATTAATAAAAAAACAAGCAATGAGAACTTTATTTCTCCATTGATGAACAGGGACATTAGCATTCAACATTAGAGAGTGTGCAGTCTCAATAAGGTGTCTATTTTTCCTTTCTGCAATGTCATTTTGCTGTGGGGTGTGAGGACAAGTTGATCGATGTAAAATTCCCTGGGAAGATAAAAAAGAAGAAAAAGAAAATAGAGAAATTCTTTGGCATTATCACTTCTGAGAACTTTAATTATCTTCTCAAATTGATTTTTAATTTCATTGAAAAGAACACAAAAATGAACAAAAGTTCATATTTGTCTTTCAGCAAATAAACCCAAGTACTTCTAGAAAATTCATCAATAAATATCACAAAATATTGGAAGGCAAAAGAGGAAACACAACTTGGTCCCTAAACATCAGAATGAATATTTGAAAAAAGAAAATTACATCGAGTTTCAGATTGTTTAGGAAAAGTAGATTTAACATGTTTTCCTAATTGACAAGATTCACACTCTAAAACCCGAATATGTTGAAGATTAGGAGTCATCACTTTCAACTTAGATAGACTTTGGTGGCCCAGATGATCATGCAAAAGTTTAGGGACAGGAGAAACCAGACAAGACACCGAAGGACTTGGTTTTAGATTGTACAGATCACCTGATTCATGTCCTTCTCCAATCAGACGACCCGTACCACGTTCCTGAATAACAAAAAAATTGGAAGTAAAGGTTACATAACAATACAAAAAACGAGTAAGTTGACTTAGAGAGATCAAGTTATAAGGGCAATTAGGAATGAAAAGAACCGAATTTAAATTTAGAGATGGGGTTAAAGGAACTTGGCCTACACCTTGAGATTTCACTTTGGATTTATTAGCTACAGTGATTAAGTGAGAAATATTAGGATAGGACATGAAGGAAAACGATGAACTATTACCAAATATATGATCAGAGGCACCTGAATCAAGAATCCATGGATTCTGTGCCTTCCACAGATTGAGAAATACATGCAGTTGAAACACTTGACATTGAAGAGGATTGACCCTGACTCTTAAACTTTCCAGATTTGAACTTCAAAAACTCCTGATACTCCTCATAAAAAATCTTCATATTTGGCTTTTCCCGATTTAGATGCATGGGCAGGAAAGCCATGGCAGGAATAATAATTTTCCTGCGTGTGTCCCATCCTCTTATGATAGGTGCATTGAGGACGAACTTTCGAACTACCATGTCCACCTCAATTGTTGCGTCCTCCCCCTCGACACTGAGGGGCAACCATAGCAGAAGTTTCAACAGGCTCCACTTGATTCTCATCAACCATGAGATTAGGAACCTGAATCAACCTAGTGATAAGATTATCCATTGATGGAGCATGATCGCTAGCTAGGAGTTGATCACGCTCGTGATCAAGGTACGAATACAGACTTCTCAAAATTAGAACCATATATAGCTTATCGAGTTTGGTGTTTAACTCCTCTAATAAGGTATTTGCAACAAGAAACCTTTTTAATTCTTCCACAACAGTCCTAGCTTTTACGATGTAAGCCATCATGTTGTGATTGATTTGTTTAAGTGATGTTACTCTTAGAGTTGCATCGTTGAATATCATTACAAAAAATGTCTTGAGCCTTTTTCCAAAAAGAAGAACAGGTTTTGAATGACCTGAGAAGCTCAAGAGCATATGATTCCACAAACTGCCATAAGATTGCACAAAGTTGGAAATCGATTTTCTCCCACTCCGACCTTTCTGCAAATGGTCGTGATGCCCATGACCAAGAAACCACAACTCAACTGAAGCAGACCAGGATAAGTAATTTTTTCAGTTGAGACACTAGTTATGGTGGGACTAACAGAGAAGGTGAAGGTAGAGGATGAGGCCAACTAAACAAAAAAAGATGAATCAAGCCAATGAATAAGGTTACCCAGGGGACTTTTCACATACAGTTCTTAAACCAAAAAACTAAGGGCACCACTAGACTTGGAGGACGCCTACAAGTCAAATGGAGGTGGTCGGCCTTGATTTTGGCCACTGGAAGGCGGCGCGTGGGACACACGCGTCTGAGAGGGCTCATTGGGATGATCACGCGTGACGGTGCGTGGGGCTGCTGACGGAGGAGCGACTTGCAGGGGTGAGTCGCACTCCTCAAGGCAAGCAAAACCCCTCTTTCGCCGGTCCAAACGAAGACAGTGACTGGCGGTGACAACGGCGGCTAGAGCTGACAAAGGCGACTGGAAATCAGTGCGAGATCTTACCTGCTTTGATACCAACTTGAGAAAACTTATTTAGTGTTTGATACAGTGATCAAAGGTAGGGATGGCAAAACGGGCTAGCCCGTCTCGTTTTGGCCCGTCCCACCTTTGGCCTGCCAAAAGCGGGGCGGGCGGGCTAGCCTGCTATAGTCATGGTAGGTTATAGGTTTTGTCCCGCCTCGCCAAAGGGCGATCGATCCGTCATATTTCTTATTTTATTTTATTATTTTTAAATCTTTCAATAAATTTAATAATAAAATTATCATTATCAATAATTCAATATATATATATATATATTTCAAGTTAATAATATAAATTGATATATTATTTTAATAAATTATATTTTAGAATAATTAAATTAAGATAAAATTTATATAATAATAAATACATGTATATAATAATAAAAATTTATTAATTCTTTATTTTTTATATTGAAAAGTTTAAACATTTAAATGAAAATTACATTATATTTATTTAAAGTCAAAACGGGCTGACGGGTTGAAAGTATTAACCCGTCCTGTCATATTATGGCGGACCGACTTGTTGGACCTGACCTATTTTGTCATCCCTAACCAAAGGCGTTGATACATTGTATTTATAAAAAAAGGGGTACAATATAGAGAAAATGGGTCTCGGCCCAAATCCTTAACCCTAGTCTAAGAAACATTGAAAAAGAATACTAAAAGATACATAAACAACATATCTCAACAATTATGATAAGGATGGGATAATAATAGATTGTAATGATGATGATAATGATAAGGATAATGATGGTAATATATGTTAGAATAAGTCTTAAGTAAGATTTATTGAATAATTTTTATTGGAAAACTGCTTAGTGCCGTACCTAGGGTTAGTGCTGTTTTTATCTCAAGTTGGTATTAGAGTGAGTTTATCCCATTCTGCCAGTCTTTGTCTTGTCCAATGTGAAAAGCACCGTCTAGTCACCGTGCGGTTGTCCGTCACCATTGGCTGTCCCCTGTTGTTTGCCATTGTCCACTGTCAACTTCCGCACTGTTTTGCATTGTTTCACATCTTTCTGCACTGTTGCACACTGATCGCCCGCACTGTTTTGATACTGTTTCTCTGCTATTGTTCCACATTGTTTTGCTACTGTTCCATATTGTTCTGGTATTGTTCTGCATTGTTCTAATATTGTTCCACACTGTTCTGGTATTGTTCTTCACTGTTTATGGTACTGTTCTGCATTGTTCTTGTACTATTTTGCCCAGTTCAACACTTTTACGATACTGTTTGGTGTTGTTTTGGTACTGTTTGGTGGTTATGGTTTTTAATTTGCTACCACCTCTTTTTTTGGAACTCCTACTATAACTTATGAAAATGGAACAAACTACTTAGTTGAACTTTTGTTCCTTGGCCAAAGTTTCCATGATCACCTGGACGAATATGGAAGTCAAGTAGCCTCTGACCATGCTCAACAATGGAAGAAGACTAATTTTCAACTTTATGCTTTGCTGTGACAATTAGTGAGGTCCAATATTTTGAGCACTCTTAGATCATTCAAGACATGTAACTCCTGGATTTGTTGCTCTTAGGGGAGTTTGGTTTGATTTGTAGATTGCGTCACTCTCTTTATGGTCTCAAGTAATCTCCATGTGCCTGGTTTGGAGAGTTTAGCCACATTGTTTAAATATTTGGGCTAAAATGTAGTGAGACAAATAATGCTGTTTTCAATTGTCATGCACTCTTAGAAAATGTGTGTATTTAATAATGTATGTTGATAATATAGTTGTTATAGAGAATGATGCTAAAATGTATCAGTTAAAGGAACACCTATGCAATCATTTTTCGACCAAGGATCTTGGGAGTCTCAAATAATTTTTAGGCATTGAAGTAGTCCAATCAAAAGGTGTTGTAATTTCTCAAAAGAATTTTGTTCTAAATATCCTAAAAGAGACAAGTATGATTCATTGTAAACTAGTGGATAGTACTACAGATCCAAATCAGAAATTAGTGACAGAATAGGGTGAAACATTCTCTGATCCAGAAAGGTATGGAAGACTGGTTGAAAAACTTATTTATCTTACTATTACTAAACCAAATTTATCTTGTATTGGTATTATGAGTCAATTCATGCAGTCTCTTTGTATTGATCACTGAAATATTGTTATCTATATTCTAACATACCTTAAAAAGGCTCCAAAGCAAGCTTTACTTTATGAAGATAAAGAAAATACCCAAATCTTTAGGTATTGTGATATTGATTGAGCAGGTTTCTCCTATGGAAAGATGCTTTTTTATGAGATATTGTTTCTTTATTGGAGGAAATATTATCTTATGGAAAACAAGAAGCAAAATGTGGTTGTTCGATCTACTATTGAAGTTGAGTATAGGATAATGACATTTTTCACTTGCTAACTTGTATGGGTAAAACAATTACTTAAAGAAATAAATTTTTGTAAGATTAAGCAAGTGAAGATGTATTGTGATAATCAAGTTGTTCTCCACATTGATTCCACCAATTCAGTGTTTCATGGAAAAACTAAACATATCAAGATTAACTGTCATTTTATTTGGGAAAAGTTGTTATCTAAGAAAATTTGTACTGAGTTTGTTGAATTTAATGTTCATCTTGCAAATTTATTAACAAAATCTTTGAGAAGACCTCATATTGATTTTATTTGTTCTAGGTTTGATACATATAATTTGTATGCTTTAACTTGAGTGGAAATGTTATAATAAGTCTTTAAATAAGCTTTATTGAAAAGCTACATAGTGCTGTACCTAGGAATTAGATATGCCTTTTCTTATTCCCTTTTTCTATCTATCATTTATTGTATTTGAACTACCTTTCTTATTATAAATATAAGAACCTAAGAGAGGGAAATCAAGCCTCTTAAATATATTTCTTTTCTATTTTATTTATCTCAAGGGTAACGACGTACATAATAATAAGATGGTAGCAACAATGACAATGATGATGGTAATTGTAATAATGATAGTGGTGATAATGACAAATGTGATAATGGTCATAATGAGTTGATGGTGAGAGTGCTAGCAGCAATGGTGGTTGTTATGACAATGATAGCGACAAAGATGGTGACACTAATTTGGTGGTGATAGTGCTAGCTGCTACCATGGAAGTGGTGTCAAAAGTTTTGGCAACAATGGTGAAAGTGGTGGTGGTTACTATAGCAATTGTGGTGTGGTGGTGATGCTAACAGTGATGGTTGCTACAATGAAGATGATGATGATAGTAGAGTAGTGACTATGATAGTGGTTGTAATGAAGGTGGGCATAGTTTGAGAGTAAGAGGAAGGTTGACTGTGCTATTATGCTGCCTTTTATCCACTTCTCCCCTTAGGATAAAAAATACACTACACTAACAAAATAGGATATACAATTGGATAAAAATTCAGTATCTTGTTAGTGTACCAAACAATTGATCACAACAAAATTATCCCGTGCTATCCTATCCACCAATGGGGTCCATAAATGAACCAAATTCCAGCATCCATTGGTGTAGAATTTCTTGATAATATTTTTTTGCTTTTTTTTCTACAAGTCATGTTTTTCACTAACTTAAACAACTCCAACAGTTTCTATGATTGATAGGTGCCTTGGCTTGCAATGTGACTTGAAAATTCCTAGTTTATTCTCAATTCATTAATTAAATACCACTGTATGCAAAAACCATAAGAAAAATCAATCAATTTTCTAAAATATAACTTTCTACAACTGAACATTTAGTTTCTGGAATAGTGTTTGAATTGCTCTCTTTTTCTTTGTCTTGGTCATTTTTCACTTAGCTCTTATATATTTCTGTCTCAATTAATCAATGTCTAGCACAGATTCTAATTTATATAGATAGATATAGCATCTTTAATACCTGGCCTAAATATTTAGTTTTTGATGGTTGCAATGCAAGTCTTTTATTTTATTCGGTGTTACTTATAGAAAATGTAGTTGTTTTTTGTCAAATTCAAGTCCTCACTTTTTGTAAACAGCTTCGCAATAACTTTATACCTTTTTTCTTCCATTAAGTATTGTAGGAATTTGCCTGTTTTTTAGTCTCCTTATATGATGTGATTTACATTTTCTCTCCTTTTCATGGGGGAAGGATGGTATTGTTATTGGTTAAATATGGTTTATGTTTGCGTATATTTCTGATAGGAAATTGAAATGATACTTGATTATAATATTATTTTTGAGGGAGAAAATGCATGAAGGTTGTTGGGATTGAAATACATTTTGCAAATTTCTCGTAACTTCTTAAATTTTAATTTTGCTTAATGTGATCTATATTGTTTACAAACACATGCAATTTCATTTCTTTTTGAGAAAAGTTGAGATTTGAACTTCTGTTCTTTCCAGTTATTTATTCTTGTTTCTTTTTTATTGTTGGTTAGTCTCTTGTTTAACTTGTACCGAAACAAAAAATTTCAACCATTTTGTTTTTTATATTTATGCACTGCGTGGCATTTTCGTTTCTACTATCTAGTATACAAATTCATTTCACTAAATAGAGCTAGTTTTGTGCTTGGGAACGATGCATGTTATATTGTTGTTTTCTGCCGCAAGAATTTATTATTGACATAATTGAATCTATTTGCAGGTTGACAAGAATCTTTCTTTCCTCAATGATTATGTTCAGCAGTCTCTAGAAAGGGGTGCACAATCCTATATTCCCGAGGATGAGCGCATTGGAACAGGGAATATGAACAATTTCAGAAGCCATGATCATAATGAATCTTTGCAGCATGGTCTAAGATTTGAGGCATATGAAGTTCCAAAGGCTCCAGTGCAACCTAAAGCTACTCCAGTTTCATTCGCATCCTCAGCAGACACTGTTCCAGTACCTGAGGCACTGTCTTCCAGGGAGACTCGCCATATCTCATCACTGGGATTAACATCAGAGGCTGGATCATCAGAGCTTAAGCTAAGGCTTGATGGTGTTCAGAAGAAGTGGGGCAGGCCAACTTATTCGTCTCCAACATCATCTGCCTCTGACTCTTATTCTACTTCCCAAAAGCCAACAAATGGAGCAACACAGGTGGATAGTGCTACAGCAGTTAATTCAAAAGTACGGGATAGTTATGATTCACGAAAGATGCAGGTTGAGATTAATCCAGAAAAGCAGAAGCTTGCTGCTTCATTGTTTGGTGCTTCAACTAAACCTGAGAAAAGATCATCTACAAGTCATAAGGTTCCAAAATCTAATGCAGACGGATCTCAGGGATCAAAGGCTGCTGTTGTACCCAATGAATTAGCTGTGGAAAAAACAATTCATCAACCCCCTCCTGATTTGCTTGACATGGGGGAACTAGCTGTCACTACAGCTCCTCCCTCTGTGGATCCATTTCAGCAATTGGAAGGGCTTCTTGACCCAAGTATTAATTCTGGAATAGCTCATAATGTGGGTGGTACTACAAATGCCCCTGATATTATGGGATTATATTCGGAGAGTACTGGCAGTGGTGGCTATTCTATACCTGTAAGTGGGGATAATGTAAATTTTTTATCTGAATTGTCAAATGCAGCTGTAAAAGCTACTAGTGGAGAAACAACTATGACGCCTTTGCCGCAATCTATTAAGGGTCCAAATGCTAAAGATTCTTTGGATAAGGATGCACTAGTGAGGCAGATGGGTGTGAATCCCTCAAGTCAGAATCCTAACTTGTTCAGTGACTTGCTTGGCTAATCTCTTTACTAAGCCAATTCTAGATCATGATGCTCGAAGATAGATTGCGCACGACTTACTGCTTTGTCGAGTTGCTGAAAATGTTTGCTGTCTGATATAATCATAATTGAATAATACATATTATCAGGCATGGATAGTACAAGTTCCTCCTCATCTTTGTTGTACCAAAACTGTATTTTTTTAAAACGTAATGTGCAGTTTTCCATGTCCATAGGATGTTTTTTCAACAATGAGAAGTTTGATACTGCGGTTAATAATATCAGTTTGATAATGTGAATGACATTTGAAGTTTTTAATTATGAGATCCAAATGAAATTTTACCTTTTAGCTTTTTTCTTCTTTTCGTTGGAGGTGAAAGCTATTGAGTCGGGGAGAGGAAACACAAATAGTTTGGCGTTTGATTAACACGTCGTCAATATAGTTTTCGTTTATGTAAATTAAATTGTCTAACAGCAGTCATTAATGGCCGAAATCGTATGTGTAAATGATACTATGCACAATACAATGCTGAAATATACTGAGCGGAGTTTAGCGACTTGCAAACACCAAGAGAATTTAAGTTCGAAGACAACACAAATGACGGTGAACTATGATAGTCAAGTAGTTCTGCATATTATATGCAATCTATTTTTAGAGGACAACTTATTGAGGTTCATCATGGAGAAGATTGATTGATATCTTAATTACGTTTTTGAGAACTCTTATGATGTAGTTGTAACAGGCTAGATGCATATCATTTATATGCTAAAAAATGAAGGAGAATTTGATGAGACTTATATAAGTTTGAAGGAGTGTTTAAGTAAATAGTACACATTTAATTATAATGTTTTTATAGGATTTGATATCTTATATAGAGGAAAACGAATATATTTTAATCATGTGTTATATTGTTAATTGTGATTCAGATAATGAATGTTTAAAATCAAATCAATTTAAAATAATATTTTTAAAATTAAAATCTAAAATAATATTTTTTAATAGTTAATTACTTTTTATAATTTAAAATATTTTTTATTATTTTTTAAATTGAATACGAAAATACATGAAAGCAAATTAAAATTATGAATATCGTCATTAATTAATTATGCATAATATTTTATATAATATAATTTTTATTGACTAATTATTTTATTTATATATTTAACAACTTTATAATAAAACATCATAAAAATTATTTAAACCAAATTATAAAATATTATTTTAATTTAATTCGAATTTTTCTAAAAATAAAACCAAACTAAATCCATCACTATTTAAATTTTATATTTAATTCACATAAACTAATATGACTATTAAAATCTTATTTTAATAATATAATATGCATATTAATGATTAATAATATAATATTAACATTTTATATTAATAATATGATGTCATTTATATTGTGAAGTGGAAGTTTAATGTATTGTGAGGGCAAATAGTTTAATTTGTTAAACAGACTATATTAATGAAAATAATTCTAACACATTTTTTTCCTTTTATAGTAAATGACTTTTTTTAGTGAGAAGATCAAATCTCCACCCAACTCTTTAGTTACACGAAGGGATGGTAATTAAATAAAACACCAGTCCATCGAAAAGTTGATAACAAAGATCAGAGAAGTAGGTTGCGAAGTGGCCAAACATTTTTCTTTCACTGTTTAAGGAAAAGCATAATCATATGATTCGCACTGGATTGTGACTCCTTGAGGAAGACAACCATGTCTTGTCCTGCACAAGATGTCACACAGAATGTGAAAATATCCAAACTTCCTTCTCCATTCACATGCATGGCTTTAGAAAAAGAACACGTGCACTCTTCCATGCTTTCATCACGTTTATTAATACTCACTATGAAATCTGAATGAACGAAGATCTCCCTCTGCATAGGACCATTCCTTCTCATGGCTCCAACACTTTCTATGGTTTAAATGCATCGAAAAGTAAAGTACTTTTTTTCCAGCTTTTGCTTGAGTATTGAATTTGTAAACCTCTACTTATGTGGCACTCACAACGCCTCGTCTTTAGTAAACATCCCAATGTATGATATGATGGATTCCTAACATTTGAAATAAAGAAAAATTAGGTGTTTTCCATACATAGATCATGTATTAATATTGAGGATAAACACACTTGATGAAGTCATAATTTCATAAACACTTTCAAAATCTTCATATTTCATATAATGATCAACATTATCCAACCATTTCAAAACTTTACATCAGCCACCATGTGAACATGTATATGCAACCTAGTCAAAAAGGTTTTTGTATTACGAATATCATCTAGTAGAGTAAAGAAAAGACTGATGAAGTGTAAAAATATATCCTGCAAGATCTCATTGTAATTATGACCTCGTTTTGTTTCTTCATATTCAAGACAGCTACAGCAGATGAAATCATAACATATATATATATAAACAATGCGACCATGTTAATGGAAATAGAAATTGCATGATGTAGATATGTATGCTGCTTAAATCGCTCATCCTGATCAGTTGAGCGTACACACATGAATACTTTAATATATTGGAAGCCATGATATTTGTACTATCATCATGACATTACTCAGTATATGGAGTCAAATTTACAACAAGATATAATAATATTTATTGCTAAAATCGAGGTAATATATTTAAAAAATTGTGAAGAGATAAAACCGATACAGTATGATATATCACATCGATTTATACTTAAAAATCAATGCTATATCTCTAACGTACTTTATGTCACAACTGATGTGATATTGCCATATAATATCGATCGATTTTACTCATAATGTAATATCTTGCACCCATTTTGATTTATTGAAATGTATTCTATCAATTCTTTAAAAAATTAATATTATATGTCACTTTTCTATATTAATTTTATAATACACTTTCTACATCCATAAAATGGATATAGATGTACAATAACCAAATTATCCTGATACATATACATAAATGTGAATTTAACTTTACCTGCCATATATATATAATATGAATTTTCTGCATCAAAGTTTTCAATAACCAGGAAAATAGCTCCATGATATATATATATATATATATATATATATATATATATATATATATATATATAACAGAAGCCTAATTATGAATTTTCTGCATCAAAGTTTCAATAACTAGGAAAATAGCTCCTAACAAGAGAAAAGTACATTGTGAAAAACAAACAAGTATATATACTACTATATATATATATATATATATAGAGAGAGAGAGAGAGAGAGAGAGATACACTACGTGTCTGTTTCTTCTTCCACAGCTTTTGGTTGTCGTGCAGCAAGTGCCATGTATTTCAAATGAGTGTCGCGACTACACCACGTCATATTTGCATTATTACAATTCAGTACATTGTACGAACTCCACTCCACTACTACAACTACTCATTCATTTCACAGTGCACAACCATATATAATATGGCTTATAGGAAGGACCATCTTTGTTGCAATGTTCCTTTCCCCTACCTCTTGTCATTGTTGTAATCCAGAGGAGGAAAGAGCATTAAGAAGAACAAGACAACAACTAGAACAAAACCAGGAAAAATAAAAAATATCTCATTAAATGGATTTCATGTTGAAATTGCCATTTTGATCTTCTGTTTTTGTTTTGTTTAGAAACTATAACATGAAAATCACAAGTCTATAACATGCATTAGTAATTAAATACCATGTGTTTATTCATTATGTGAATGATCATATTTTGGAAACCTTGTTCCATAGTTTTCGTCAATGGAAACTCATCCAATAATCGATTATAAAAGGTTCATGGACAAGATAATTAGTTCATAATCACTAAGAGAAATAGGAAAAAATCGTGGATAGATATTTATTGAAATTCAAATGATAATTTTAAAATAACAATACAATTATTTGGTTACATTTTTGTTATTTAAACCTTTTTAAAGTGGATGAGAAAATTAATTTTGAAATTATTACTAATTTAATTGTTAAGGAAATTTATATTAGAGTATTTTATCTGAATTATTTTATATTTTATAAAATGTAAAATAGATTTATTGTGTTGCATCTCGTTAAATAACTCATATAATTTTTTTTAAATCAAACAACTCATTATTTTAAATATATATATATATATATATATATATATTATATATATAAAAATTTGATAACTCTTAATTATATATTATGGAAATATTAGTCAAAACTATGGTGATCACGTCATAATTTCTACTAGAAATGGTGACAATTCTATGATAATAAATATATAAATATTATTATAGTGAATCTTAATCCTCTAAAACTCTTCAAACTTAACATCTAAACTGATAATCAAATAATTGAAAATTCAAACAAGTTTGTAACATGGACTTATTAAATCCAATAGTCTTGCCCCATGTGGTGGATATGGACTTTCAAGAACAAGTGTTAGATCCTCCATGTTCTCTGTGTTCAAACTTGTATAGATATTTATTGTGTAACTTATTTTCTTCTTCCTTCTCAGCCTCATGTGCTATTATTTGTTCTTTAAATTTCCTACTTCCATGTTCTTTTGGAATTACATATTTGTAACCAAATTTCTAGTTATATTGAAACACACTTGAGTTATGTGTTTAACTTTTCTTTTTATGAAGATGAAACATATTTTCTATTGCATGAATTTTTACAGAATGTGTTACCACTAGGAATCAGTTAATCCACAAGAACATGATGTTAAAAAATAAGAAAGAATGGAGACATAGTCGATCATTTGCAACCTTTATCTTGAAAGTATCCCCTAAAGAACCAAATACATGGTGGTATAGAAATCCATGTTCACAGATATGGCAGAAGTAGGATCTTGTATAGCTGTCATACATTGAAGTGTATCTTGGACATATCTATCGACATCTCACAAGAAAATCGAAAAACACACATGTTGGACACTTGGGGTGATGCTGTGAGAGATGCGGAGGTCTGAGTCAGCATTTTTGGCTAAGATCTTAGAATTCATGCCTCCACAATCTCTTCTTTCGGTCCTTCAAAAGATTATGGTTTCCACTGAAAAGGACAAATGGTTGGAGTTCGACCTCTTCATGACATCATAGGCAACAGTTTTCTCCTTTTCCCTTCTCTCCTCGATTCAATGTTGTGAGTTACTTGCCTCCTTGCTAGATAATGATTTTCATCTCTTCTTCATATGGGTGGCGTTTTCAGAGTAGATTCTTTATGTGGCTACGAGTTCTCCTAATCTTTTCTTACAAAAATTGTAACTGTTATTGTATTAAAAGGATAATTGAACTTTGCTCATGCATAATCTTTTAAAAACAAATTATAGTTTGATTATAATATGAATTTATTGTTATGTATAATTTTAAATGGTTATGATTAGGTTTTATAATAGCCTAAGCACATTCTCCTCTTATGTTTCTTTTGTGTGGTTGAGATTATATATGGAAAATGGGATGGTGAATAAATAATTAATATATTGGTTATAATAATTATTATAATTTTTATCTCAACTTTTTTTAATGTATACTGGATTTGAATATTTTTCAGTGATTTTGTGTTATTAATATTTATCTTAATCATTAATTTTATATTTAATAACTATTAAAATTAAAATAGAAAAATTAATTATATAAGTTATTATTATTAAATTTCTAACCTAAAATCAATTATAATTAATTCAAGTCTATCAGTTCAAATAAAAAGATACCTTGGCCCACAAAGATAACAAAAAAAAATTAGCTTTAAAAT